CTGAGCCAAACCAATCTGCGCTCTTCTCTCCTCTTTTTCTCTAGAAGGAAAGGAGAAAGGCAGAGGGTTTGGAATCCGTACCAAAAGGAGGTATAAAGAACTCTACTTGTGACATAGCACAAAAGAGAACACATTGGAAGGAATACACAGCAGATTAGGGGAAGCTGAGGATCTAAAACCTGTAAGGAACTCATACAACTTAGCAAAAGGAAGGCAAACAATCCTAAGAAAAAGTGGGCAAGGGACCTAAATAGACACATCTCCAAAGTGGACATACAGATGGCCAAGAGTCATAGGAAAAAATGCTCTAAGTCACTGTTCATCGGAGACATGCAAATTAAAATGACAGTGAGGTATTGCCTCATATCTGTCAGAATGGCCACCCTCAATAAAGCAACAAATGACAAGTGCTGGCAAGGATGTGGAGATACCTAGGTCTTTTATGCTTCACAGACATTGTATTCAACCCTGAATTGTTGTTAATAAGCTCAGGGTTCACACATTATCTTGCTGTTCTATGAGCATGTTTGACACTGCTGGTGGGAATGCAGACTGGTGCAGCCATTATGGAAAACAGTATGGAGTTTCCTCAAAAAATTAAATATGAAATTGCCATTTGACCCAGTGATCCACTTTTAGGAATATATTCTAAGAAACCCAAAACACCAATCAGAAAGAATGTATGCACCCCTATGTTCATAGAAGCACAATTTATAATAGCTAAGATGTGGAAATAGCCAGAGTGTCCATCAGTAGATGAGTGGATGAAAAAGCTGTGGTACATTTATACCATAGTATACTATGCAGCAGTAAATAAAAGAAACTCTTACCCTTTGAGACAGCATGGAGGAACCTGTAGAGTGTCATGCTACGTGAAATAAGTCAGTCAGAGAAAGACATGTATCACATAATTGCACTCAAAATGTGGAATCTAAGTAAAAAAATAAACTGATGATGAGTGGGTCCAGAGACATGGAAAAAAAAAAAAGAAAAAAAAAAGAACTCTACTTGGACACACAGAGCAGTTCAAGTAAGACCCCAGAGGCTTGAAATAGTGTACAACTTGGGGAATTATGATGTGTTCCAACCATAAAGTGAAAGAAAGGATGGAAGGAGATGAGGTTGGAGAAAGGGCTCCCAGGCTGTCCTCACATGGAAGTCATTACAAGGCCTCTTTCCCACACTCCCTCTTCACTCCCTTTCTCCCTTTCACCAGGTTCACCTATTTGCTTTAAAATAACCCCTCAATTGAAAATTGAAAACAATTCAGGCCTTAGTCAGGATTTTCACCTTTATCCTGAGAACAATAGGAAACCATTTGGCAGACTTAATTAAATGAGTGGTCAGAGCAGGTTTTCTTTTTAAGTTTATTTTCGTTGCTGCATTGAGAATGGTCCGAGAAGGAATGGACAAGAAAGATTTGGACAGAGCAGTCAGGTGGTGATAGGTAAGAGAGATCACGGTGAACTGAAGTGGTGGTAGCAATAAGATAGAAGGAGTATTGGACAGGTGTGGAAAGTATTTCTAAGGTAGAATTGATAGGTCTTGCTGATGGGTTGAACGATCTTTTATCCGCTCTGCATCCACCCCCTTGGTCATTTAATTTTGAAGTGTCCTCTGCCTCTGTCTCTGGACTTGACCCTGTGCCTGGCTTTGGGTAATAGAATGAAGCAGAAGTGCAAGTATGGTGCTTCTAAGTCTACAACTCGAGAGGCCTTGCTTTTTCTTGTGTTCTGTCATCTCCATGAGGACCTTCCTGAGGTAGCCTACTGGCATGGAACAGACACGTGGCAGAGACTTGAAGTGCCCAGTCAGCCCAGTTGAGACTCGATAGGGGAATGCAGGGATCTTATCAGGCAGATTACCTCAGCTTCCTTTAGGGAAAGTTACAGGCTGACCACTAAGATTACTATCCTGAAGAAGGTGGAATCTGCAATTAGGTAATCATTGAGTTTAGGGTCAGTGTCATGGGCTTCAGCACAAGTGACTCCATTTGGGGCCTGTGGTTTTCTCTTTAACAGCCATCTGTGATTGTCCAATAGTGAGTTGTGGGTCCTACATCAACCCAACTATGCCCTTCCACTCTGTAGCACCCAAAACCAAAGACACTGCCCCTACGTTAGTCACTTTCACAATCCATTTTAGTAAAGGGCTCATCCCTTTACTAAGTTAGATGATAAAAGGATGAGGTTAAATTGTTGGTTAATATTTATTAAAATACATTCATATCAAAGTAAGAAAGAAATGCTTGTAATTATTGCAGTCTTCCTTTCTACAACTGGTCTCAAGGTCACACCTAGCATGTATAACTAACATTATCCACTACTTTTTCCGTATTTCTTTTGCCCTCAGCAAGCACCTCAGTGGGTTATAGTTCTTTGCAACGTAGAATGACCCAAACCTTTTGTGAAGTGTCTGGGAAATTAGCAGTTTAAGTTGGAGTGTCATTTTCTATTGACCTTAATCAGCGGATATGGGAGTACTAAAGTGGTGCCCCAAAGGATCTCTTGCATTTGCCCTCCTTACCCCAATTGAGTAGTAGCAACCCAATTTTTCCTTGATAGTCAGGCTCAATCACCCAGCCAGTGCTTTGTTGATTCAATGCCCAGAGGCCAGATGGCAGCTTCAAGTTCCAATTCAAGGCAATCTTTGCTGTCTCCCCTGGTGAAAGCATTTCTCCCTTTGTAACTAAGACCTCTAGACCAGCAGAGGCTGAAGCTGCAGGGATGGGAAGCAAACATTTGACTACTGGATCCCTAGGGTTAATAGGGAGAGAAATTACTTTGTTATCCCTTGATTCCTGGACTCCCAAATCCAGGCTTTAGGAGAAACATGATGCTGATTTAGAGCATGTACCCACGCCCTGGAGGACACTGCCCAGCCCTGCAAGGTGTCACTGCCTAGCTGGCACTGCGACTGAATCTTCAGAAAATCATTCCATCATCTGTCAAGGCAGTTGCTTCATGATTATGGGGAACGCAGTAAGACCAGGGAGCTCCAAGAGCATGAGCCCATGGCTGTATCTCATTGGCTATGCATACCATGATGGTGGATGAGCCATTCTGTAAGGCCACAGATGGTTGTTTTAGCAGAAGCGTTGAGGGCAGGGAAGACAAATCCCTGCCCAGAGCAAGTGCCAATTCCAGTAAGAACTTGCTGCCCCTCCCATAATGAAAGTGGTCCAATGTAATCAACCTAACGCCAGGTAGCTGGCGGAGCCCTTCGGGCAATGGTGCCATATTAGGGGCTCAGTGTTGTCTCTCCTGTTGGCAGATGGGGCACTTGACAGTAGTTTCAGCCAGGTCAGTCTTGGTGAGCACGAGTCCATGTTGCTGAGTCCATGCATAACCCCCATCACTGTCACCCTGGCCACTTTGTACATGAGTCCAGAGGAGCTGCGGGGAAGGAGACTGCCTGATGGCTACAGAGGGGGTCATCTTCCTCTGCCCTTTGGTGAGCGTTCAAATAGAACACAAGTATCTTCAGACTCTGCCATTCAGAAAGGTGTTTTCTTTTTTTTTTTTCTTTTTTTAAATATATTTTATTGATTTTTTACAGAGAGGAAGGGAGAGGGATAGAGAGTCAGAAACATCGATGAGAGAGAAACATCAATCAGCTGCCTCCTGCACATCTCCTACTGGGGATGTGCCCGCAACCCAGGTACATGCCCTTGACCGGAATCGAACCTGGGACCTTTCAGTCCACAAGCCGACGCTCTATCCACTGAGCCAAACCGGTTTCGGCCAGAAAGGTGTTTTCTTATACCCCTTCCTTATACCTTTTGACTTTCCAGTCGTGTTCTTTCCCAGTCCAGCTACCTAGCTGAACCATGATTTGGTGCAGACTCTTTCTTCTGGCCATCTCTCCTCTCAGGCAAATGAACAAACAGGTGCATTGCTCCAAGTTCTGTCCACTGGGAGGATTTCCCCTCACCGCCAGCATTCAAGGCTGTCCCAGAGAGCTTCTTTAGTGCTATAGCTGTCCACTTGCAGATGCTGCATGCTGCTCATGCGGAACTCTCTGTAAACCAAGCCCAAGGCTCTTCTTCCTCAGTTAGCTGATCATAGGGAATTCCTATGAAGCCACGGGTGTGAGTTGAGAGGATGCAATGTAGCAGGAAGAGGGGCCTTGGGCAAGTCTGGGAATTGGTTACAGGATCTTAGGGCAAGAGATTAACCTTCTCAGGAAGGGATGGAAGGGCTGCCTCTTGGGGAAAGGAAGTTTGAGGTCCCTTGCTCCATTGGGATGTGCCCCTAAGACCCATCCTAATGTTCAAATTTGCATTCCTTCCCAACCAATACCCTACCTACTAACAAAAGAGCCCCTTGGAGGTTGGGAACTCCATTTGTGTCGCAAATCAATACCAGAAGGACTCACAAGACTCAGTAACTAGTTATACTCATAGCCAACGTGGTTTCCGGCAAAAGATACCCAGCAGCAGCAGCATGGGTGAGTCCGCGGGATCCAACCCAAGCCTCTCATGCTCTTCTTGTCCAAGGGCACACAGGATGCTCTCTCCCACAGTGAACCATAGGGCAAGTGTCCTGCGCCTCTGCCCCAGGGAGCCTGTTTTAGTCTCAGATCTGAAGGGGCGGCTCAAGGAGGTATAAGTTGCTTCCCCCACGTTCTATAGGAACAACGTGGTTTGGTTTTCAAAATCTCAGCCCCACAACTATAGGAGGCAGTGTTCCTTCCAGGGCATCATAGAAATTATTAGATTCCTTATGCAGACCTCAAGCCACAAATGAAAACTTCAAAGTCCCAAAGGCATTGCCTTAACTTTAAAGAAATGCTGGGATCCTTTGACTAAACAATTATGCTTTTAGGGATTTACCGTAAGAACATAGTAAGGATGTGCATAAAAATGTAACTGTCGGGGTGAATCACCAGAAGCACTCTTTATAATAGCAACAACCTAAAAACTGCTTATAGGAAACAACTGGGCATTTGGTACAGAAATTACGGTACATCCATAGAATGGAATTCTCAGCAGCCATTAAAAATGTTAGAGAATAACATTTATTGACATGAAAAGACATTTATGACATTCTGATTTGTGAACCAAGTAGACAGTAAACTAATGATTCAATTTTTGCGAAAAAATATATGTATATATAGCAAAAAAAATACTTCAAGGATATACACTAGAGTGTGTATCCCAAGGAAGAGAGTATATGGGTGTTCATTTTGTTCTTTGTTTGCCTGAATTCCCCACTCTACTTTTTAAAAATATAAATTGCACAGCTTGCTTTTATAAGAAGCAAAAGTTAACATAGTTTAACACCTTCATTTTGATTAAAACAAATCCATTTAAAAAATCTTAAGGTTTTTTTCAGAAGCAGAAATGACTTCCAAGCTGCCACAGAGGCAGTGAGTTTGTTCTCTGCAGAAGTTGGCAGGAACCTTCACAATCACAGCCCAAGTCAGAGTCGAGGGGACAATGGTGCTCCCACACCTTTGGGGTGCTCGCTTCAGCTCCTGTGCCCCAAGGCCAAGCAGCTCACCTGCAGCCCAGTCCATCCTACTCTTTGCCCAGTCACCAGCTTCATCATCTTCAGAGCTGTGTCCCCTTGGTCAGAAGGCACCTAGAACCAAGCAGTATCAGAGTTAGCGCACCGGTTCTATTTTTGGGGCCGGGTTTTGGGGTGACATCCTGAGACCCAGCTCCTGGAGGAGCGCCTGCTCTGTGACAGCAACCTGGGAGGATGGCTGCACCTGGGTGCACCCCTTAACAAGAGGGTCGTTTCTGTGAAAGGACCACTGTGCCTGACGAAAGCTCTTCTGGGCCCCAGTCTGTTAGGTGGCAGGTGCCCGAAGTCTGTGCGTTTAGGAAAGAACTTTCTCCATGTGAGACTGAGCTGCTGACTGGGAATAGAGTAGAAACATGGCCCCAGAGGGAAGCGAAAAGCAAAACCGATACAAACAAGCAAACGAGACCCTTTGTGTGGGTGGTATACCCGTTTTTATATGATATTCAACTTTGTTTTGTTTTTCCCTTAGAGTTTTTAATAATTCCTGTAAAAAAAAATTCTCCTTCCCGTCCTGGCCAGTATGACTCGGTTGGGCATCATCCCGTGCACTGGAAGGTTGCCAGTTTGATTCCTAGTCAGGGCGCATACCCAGGTTTCTGGCTTGATCCCTGGTAGGGAGCGTGTAGGAGGCAGGTAGGAGGCAGCTGATAGATGTTTCACTCTCATATTGATGTTTCTCTCTCTACCAATCTCCCTCTCTAAAAATCAATTAAAAAAATTTTTTTTTAAATCTCCTTCCCATACACTATCAAAAGGGGGAGGGGGAAGGGAGGGGGTAGAGAATAAATGGCTCCACAATTCTCTATGTCACATCACTGTCCCCGACAATCCTGCCAAGCAAGGCCATACTGGCAGAGCAGGGCTTACCAAAATGACATTTAATTCAACTAAAGGGGAAGTGGTTGGGGGACGACTTAATAACAGTCTCCAAGAGCTATTTTAAGGCTGCCCCCAACTGATCTCTCATTCTTTTTGTTCCAAACCAAGAGGAAATGGGTCTGAGCTCCAGCTCAGAGCAAGCCTGTGGTTAGCTCCCACCCCCCCCCTCCCACCTGCCTCTGTGGGGACCCCTCTCTTAATAGCGTTGTTCTCTAAGACACAATGTGTGCTCAACACTGAAGGTACGCAGGTCCTCAGGGCCATTAACAAAATACCCTCTTAACCCTGCCCAGCTGCCTAAATTCTCGCTTCAGATGGTTTCTTCCTTCTGGTTTCTTAAGGAAGTTGTTGTCTCTTTCCCTCGCTGCTCAGTCGTTTGTTCCAACCTCTCCCTGCTGGCTTTAGAGCCTGCCATTCACTACAAAGGATTACACACATCAGTACACCCAAACCATTCCTTACATGTCAGTCCTTTACCCGAGTTCCCCGCAGCATTAGACATCACTGGCTCCTCTCTGCTTTGAGGATGCCACATGTCCCTGGTCTCCCTCCTACTTTTCTGGCTGCTTCTTTCTCAAGTCTCATTTGTGGCTCCTTCTTTTGCCTCCTATCTCTTTTTCTTTTTAATTTTTTAAAAACTTATTTTTTAATTTGAGAGAGAGAGAGAGACATTGATTTCTTGTCCCACTTATTTATACATTCATTGGTTGATTCTTGCATGTGCCCTGACCGGGGATCGAACCCACAACCTTGATGTATCGGGATGATGCTGTTACCAACTGAGCTGAGCTACCTGGCCAGGGCCTTGCCTCCTATCTCTGAAGTACTGGTGCACCCAGGGCCCTGCCCCTCACCTTTTCCATATTTGATCCCCAAATCTCTGTCTTCAAGGACAAACACTTGACTCCAGATGCACATGTATATGGTTTATATATTCAGTTGCCTTATGGGCACCCCACCTGGCTGTTCTACAGGCAGTTACCAAGTCCTGTCCATTCTCCCTTAAATTCCTCCATGTCTCTCCCTTCTGGGTGACCAGAAAAGCCTCCTAGAGTGGTGAGCTTCCCCAGTCTTGTCGCATGCCCTCTGCTGCTGGGATGATATTTTGTAGACAAACCTAGTAATTTCACGCCTTTGCTTAGAACCCCTCGATGGCATCCCATCGCTTTCAGGTAAGGCCTGAGGTCCTTGCCGGAGTGCGCAGTCTCCCTCCCCTGTCTCATCTCTGCCCAGTGTCCCTCCTGAGGCCTCGGCTGTCTGAAGGCTCCTCTGGACACGCTGCTCTCCTTGCTCCCACATTCTCCTTTGCCTAGCTAACTCCTGCCCATTGTTTAGGGACCAGTCTCCCAGGACCCCCAAGCCTGGGCTGGGCCCCCTTCCCTGGGCCAACCCCCGTCTTAGCATTTCACCCCATGTCATGAGGGTCTCTGCCTGCCGGACCCGCATGCCCGTGAGCTCCATGAGCGCGGAGATGGTGCGCCATCCATGTTCCAGTGCCTGGCACAGTGACACGCCGGTGTTTGTTCAGTGAATAGAGGAAACCAAAGAGAAACTTTAGTTTCTCTGAGAACGTTCAGCATTTTCACTTCTGGGAAGTTCTTGAGAGGAAACTAAAGGTCAGAGAGGTTAAGAATACGTTGTCTGTGCAAACACCATATAATTCACTTATGTGTGGAAAATAAAGAACAAAATAAACAAACAAAACGGAAACAGACTCAGAGACAGAGAGCAGATTGGTAGTTGCCAGAGGGGAGGGGGTCAGGAGACGGGGGGAAGAGGTGAAGGGACTAAGAAGTAAAAATGGGTAGTTACAGAATAGTCATGGGGATGTGAAGTACAGCACAGGGAATGTAGCCAATAATATCGTAATAACTGCATGGAGCCAGGTGAGGTCTGGAAATTTCGGGGTGGGGTGGGGTATAGTTTATGAAGTCTGTGATTGTCTAACCACTATGCTAAACACCTGAAACCAATACAAAATAAAATTGAAAGTAAACTGTAATTGGAAAAAAGAAAAAAGACTACGGCGTCTGTGGTCAATTGTGTAAATAATTACAGTATTGTGAGACCGAGTGTACCAGATACCCCAGTTCCCCTTCCTCCGTATCAGGCTTTCTCAACCTTGACACCACTGACACTGGGCTGCACAGGGGTGTCCTGTGCATGGTGGGATGTTGACCAGGGTCCTGACTTCTACCCACCAGGTACCAGCAGCACCCTCCCCCTAACTGTGCCAACCAAAAATGTCTCCAGTCACTGCCAAAGTCTCTGGGGACAAAACGGACCCCAGGCGAGGGCCAGTAATGTCCTTAAGGAGTAGTTTGTGGGAAGGGGTCTTTGTCCCCCCACCCCACCCCAATCTCTTAACACCTCTTCAGCAATCCAGGTAAACATACTATGTGCTTGCTGTGCCAACACAAGACCAGTCCCCTCGGCCCATTTTCCAGACACTTCTCTATGGAGGTTCTGTCCTGAGCACAATGGAGCCAAGAGGGGAGGGCAGGCCAGAGGGCACCTGAATGTCCCTCTCAACCAACACCTGACAGGAAACCACCATCCTGGGAAGAAGAGAGACTCTGTGTTTACGTGGCCAGACCAAAGCACAGCGTGAGGGAAGCCCCTGGCCTTCTGCCTCCTGGGATTCCTCCCTTTGGCTCCTTGGCCGGGGTGTGCATGCCTGTGCACGTGTGCATGTGTATGTAGTGGATTCGGCCCTCCACCATCTCCTTCAGCCCACAGAAAGCCACTCTACCAACTTACAACCCGAGGGAAGATAGCAGGCTCGGTTTGCAAATGCAGAAGTGTGATAGCCCCCCTGCCCATCTCAGCAGGCAAGGCCTCTTCCAAACTGAGATCCTGGAGCCCCTGGAGCCAAAGCTGCTGGCAGACACTCCCCTACTGTGCACCACGCACTGACTGGCACCCAGCTTTACCACTTCCTGAAAATGTCAAGGAAAGACAATGTCTCCCTTCTTCCTCTAGGACAAGTTGTTCCTTCAGGACATACTGTTAAGAGGAAAGTAGCATAGATTCATTTAAACTAAAGAGTAAGGGACAGCCCAGCCAGCATGGCTCAGTGGTTGAGCATCGACCTATGAACCAGGAGGTCACAGTTCGATTCCTGGTGAGGGTACGCGCCTAGGTTTCTGGCTCAATCCCCAGTAGGGGGCATGCAGAAGGCAACCGATCAGTGATTCTCTCTCATCATTGATGTTTCTCTCTCTCTCTCCCTCTCCCTTCCTCTCTGAAATCAATAAAAATATATATATATTTTTAAAAAGAGTAAGGCACAGAGAGCCCAGTTTAACTCTCTCAGGAAGATCTGCTCTTTTAAATGAAAATTTCTAGGCTTCAATGAATGAAGCGCTTAAGGCAGAATTTTGTTACAGACCTTGAAACACTTTCAAGCCCAAAGTGCTTCGTGTAAGACCAACGCGTGTAGGCAGTGCACCCAGGCATAATCAGCTGCCCATGGCGTCCCTCTCAGAAGGATTTAGATCGGGAACAAAAGCAGCCTCTCTCTCACCATGTGTCCGGCTTTGAGAATCCAGTAGAAAGCCAGGTTCTTGTGGCTCTTGACAAAAGCAGACGTCTCGGAAGATGTAGGGTCATTGTACAGGGGCTTCCACTTCAGCTGATTGAACTTGGACAGCTCCGTCCACTTCAGTTTCCTTACCCAGGCCTCCTGACCTGATGAGAGGGACAGAGAAGGGCCTGGCATTAACTGTGGGGCAGAGTAGAAAGAAATCTAGGTCCTAGTCCCACCCCAGCCTGCATTGTCAACTTCCCAATTCCTGTAATCTCTACCTCCCCCTGTAATCTAGTCCTACCCTATATAAGCAGCTGGCTTATGGGGGGCTGCAGGTCATTTTGTGAATGACCTGCAGCTCTCCCATACTGCCGGAAGTATGGGAATAAACCCTCATATATAATTAAAAACAAACAACCTAGTTCGTGTAACTTGGCTTTTCCCAAAGCATAATAATGTGCATGAAACTCACCCTTGTAAAATGCAAATCAGAACCACAAGGAGCCTGGCTGGCGTGGCTCAGTGGTTGAATGTCCACCTATGGACCAGGAGATCACGGTTGGATTCCCAGTCAGGGCACATGCCCGGACTGCAGGCTCAATCCCCAGTGTGGGGCATGCAGGAGGCAGCCGATTGATGGTTCTGTCTTGTCATTGATCTTTCTCTCTCTCTCCCTCTCCCTTCCTCTCTGAAATCAATAAAAATATATTTTAAAAAAACACACACAATGAAATACCATGTCACAGCTGTTAGAATGGATAGAATCAAAAAGACAAGTAATAACAGGTGTTGGAGAGGTTGTGGAGAAAAAGGAACCCGCATTCATTGCTGGTGGTGATGTAAACTGGTACAGCCACCATGGGGAACCATATGAAAGGCTCTCAAAAAATCAAGAATAGAGCTACCATATCACCCAGCAACCCCTCTTCTGGGCATCTACCTGAAAAGTTTGAAAACATTTATTCATAAAGATATATGCACCCCCATGTGCATTGCAGCATTATTGACGATGGCCAAGACAGGGGAACAACCTAAGCATACTTTAGTAGAGGACTGAATAAAGAAGATGTGGTACAGATATACAACGGAATACTCAGCCATAACAAAAGAGGAAATACTGTCATTTGTGACAACATGGATGGATCTTGAGAATATCGTGCTAATGAAAATAAGTCAGATGGGAAAAGTCAAGAACCATATGATTTCACTCATATACGGGACATAAAACTAAAAGCAACAAACAAACAAAAATTCATAGACACAGACCACAGTATGGTGATTATCAGAAGGAAAGGGGGTGGGGAAAGGTAGAAAAGGGTGAAGAGGGGGATAAATGGTAACAGAAGCAGACTTGACTTTGGGTGGTGAACATACCATGAAATAGACAGAGGGTGTATTATAGAAGTGTACACTTGAAATCTATATAATCCTATTAAGCAATGTCATCCCAATAAATTTAATAAATTGTTTTTAAAAGGGGAAAAAACCCTTCCCCTTGTAAAAATGCAAGTTCTGACTCAGTAGGTCTGGGTGGGGCCTGAGAGTCTGCATTTTTAGCAAGCTCCCGTGATACCCAGGCCTACGGGGAAACCCAGCAGCTGGGGAGCCCGACCAGTTTCCGCCTCTCGCTCTCCCACTGCCGTATGCTCTGGAGGGAGGCCATCTGGGACTGGGAGGTCGCAGCTGTCAGGGGGACTGAGAAGTCTCGGGTTAGACAGAAATGTGGGAAGAATTGCAGAACCTCTTCATGTTGTCCTTAGCGCCCTTGGCTTACAAGTCACAGAAAGATTCAGTCCTGCTGACGCTAAGAAACACACCACACCCAGCAGACCCCACGTCTGGCTGGCCTGCTGGTTCGGAGCACCTGCCCCCGTGTTTCTCCTGGCCCTGCTGACCCCAGAAGTGGGCATGCGCTGACAGCCAGTGCGACAGTGGCTCTGCAAAGACCACTTCCCCCGGGTCCTCGTTTTACAGAGTCCTTAGGGTTCAGTCTTAAATCACCCTGCAAGGTTTTCCCTCAATGAAATAGTCCGTCTGTCCAGTGGTCAGAAAAATGCCTTCTTTTTTATTTTTGTGGTGGGGGTAGGTGTTGTTTTTTTCGTTAACTACACCAAAGGGCCTCAACAGTTGGATGGACCTACACTTCTCTGAGGGATCACAGCCTCAGGTGGCTCCCCCCTCTTCCAAGAATCAAGGTCGGGGGTGGATGGGTAAACGGGAAATGGCCTTCTTCCTAGCACCTCAATGTCACCAGCCCCAAGACGGATGTGCCTGAGGCCAGTTCCCTTCCAGCTCAACCCCAGACACCGCCTCCACGTGCCACTTGGAGTGGGCTCTTACCCATGGTGTCCACGATGAGATCGAGCTGTCCGTTATACACCGTCACGTTGACCCCGGCTTCCAGCAACTCGTCCACCACGCTGATGGCTGGCTTCATGAAGTCCTCCTCCATGTTCAGGAAGACGTTGTTAGCCTGGCCTGCACATGAGGAAGGAGAAAGAGGGAGCAGCTTGGAATCCACCAGAATAAGAGGTACCTTCCAGCCCAGAGCATTCTGGGCCCTGGCACCCAAATGTAAGCCTGGTGTAGCACCCAAAAGACTGAACACACAGATGCTTCACCCACAGGGACCAACCGGCCTGGGTCTCCATGCCCTGAGCTGGTTGTGCAGAAGGCAAGCATAAACAGCACATGCTCTGCTCTCTCAAGTGTGGTGATGACAGTGATGGCATTTTTGTTTGTTTGTTTATTAATCCTCAACTCAAGGATATTTATTCCATTGATTTTCAGAGAGAGTGGGAGGGAGGGGGAAAGACAGAGAGAGAGACACACTGATTGGTTGCCTCCTGCATGGGTCCTGACCAGCGCCGGGGATGCAGCCTGCAATCGAGGTACATGCCCTTGACTGGAATCGACCCTGGGACCCTTCAGTCCATGGACTGACGCTCTAACCACTGAGAAAACCGATTAGGGCCAAGTTCTAAGTTTTGAACAAGTAAGGCTACCCTAGTGATAAACCAGATCAGACCCAGACCAATTTAGAGTTCGCCCTCAGTAAGCCTGTGGAGGCATAGTCCCAGGCAAGAGGAGAAGGTGACCACGTGGAGGGCGAGTCCCCGGCAGGAGGAGCTGGTCAGTACAGACTCCCAGTGGACTCCTGACCACCACCAACTCCACCATCATCATAATACCAAACAATAGCAATAGCGTATGCATTTATTTTTATTTGCTAGTCGCTGTACTTTATAAGCAACATCTCATTTCCTCTTCATCACTACCCTGGGAGGTAAGGTCTCTTAACTTGTACAAAGGTTAAAGAAAATGAGGCTCAGAGAGGCTACAACACATGTCCGAGTCAAAACAGCTGGTCAACAGCAAACTGGGATAGGAAAACAAGCCTGGCTGACTCCAGAGCATGTAGGCTTAACCACAAACTGGAACTCAAGACACTGGGGGTATTGGCCAAGGTCACTCTGTCCTTTCCAAACCTACGTAGACACACCCGGAGCCAAAGAGAGTTTGGCTGAAAAAAAGTAGTCACTAGGCCCGTCCACCCAACCCACCCTTCCACCAGAGAAGCAGGGGCTGGAAAACACCGCCATAAATGAAGATAAAATGAAGGGCTTGGGCTGCACACATGTGCTCACAGGAGCCTGAGCTGGACCTGGCCCTGTGGCTGCTCATGTTTTCTTCTCGGCGCCACGACAGCTCCCCACAGCTGTCCTCATCCCTTGTAGTACTGAAACCACATTCTTTTTATTTGATCACATTAACTTTTTTTCTTCATTTCTAGAAAACTCTGAGGAGAAGATGAGGACACCAGGTCTAGGATGAGCCTTCAGCTCTCTGCAGGTGGGGAGGATGGCCCATGTCCCCAGAGTCTCAGCAGCTGTCACAGTAAGTCTAGGCCGCCCTAGAAAACCTCCAGACCATCACTTTGGGGGATCAACGAAACTCTCCCCAGCATGGAATGTTTCCCCTCCAGGAGCCTGGGTGTTCCACTGGCTCCTGGCCTTTCCACAGGACTAACCGGGTCCTTATCCAAGATTTCCACCTGGCCTGGTCTCTGAGGACCCCAACATTTCCTCACTATGGCCTTCAGGCCAGAAGGCGGTAAACGCTTGGACCACATCCCGCACCAGGAGGAGCCCGGCCAGAGAACTGGTCAAACCTGTCCAAAAGGACCTTTGTCTAGAAGTCACACCTGTAACCAACTGTGGCCTCAGGCATGGCTTTTCTATATCTCAGCCTGCTATTATGGAAAACTTCAAACTGATAGCGTACTCACACCTGGCTTCAACAATCACCTCATAACCAACCACGGCATTAATCTCCCAACCCACCTCTGACTTTGAACCAAATCTGGCATGTCACTTACTGTCTTTTTTTTGCTCCTCTACAAAATGTGGACAATAACACTGTTCTACCTGCAACATACGATCGTCACCACCAACAAAACCCATTCTACCAATTAAGGCCTTTGAATTTGCACCTTTCTTCACCTCCTCCCCAACTCCACAAGTGGCACTTAATTAGGTCGCAAGAGTTACCTCCCCAGGAGCAATCCTTGGGAATAATTTTGAGCTTCGTTCTGATGGGCCCGTTCATGAGCTGGTTTAAGTCGTCCCGATTCAGGTGTCTCACGTGACGTTGGTAAAGCTGAACTGAAACAGACGTACACAGTGAGTCAAAGGAGTGAAAATGAGACCAAGAGGACTTTTCCAAGCTGCTGTGCGAGGAGGGAGGCTTTCGGCGGGGAAATGAAAAGTGTCACCTGGATTCACCCCAGATGGAGGAAGAAAACAGAAACACATTGAAACTGGAGAGGATTTATCAGTGTTGGTTGCATTTCAAGTACTTTGGGGCCGCGGAGAGTAGCCAGCATGGCCAAAAGAAACCAGCGAGCAGTGGCATCTAGAGGACCCCTGCGGCCTTGATCCGCCTCTAAAGGAGGAGGATGCCATATGCGGCACCCACCGTGACGCTGGGGCAGCTGAAAGACAGCTCAACCCAGCCTGCAGGAGGTCTGCCATCGTCATCCAGGGTGCAGAAGCTGGTTTCCAAACTTCAAACATACTACGTGAAAGAAGCCAGATGTTCCACAGATGACCTATTGCATGAAGCCATTTCTACAAGATGCCCTGAAAAGGCAAGTCTAGACGAACAGAGAGTGGAGGAGTGGCTGCCTGGTGCTGAATCAGCGGCACACAGACATGTGGGATCTTTCTGGGAAACGGTCTGGAACTGGATTGTGGTGAGGATTGCACAACTCTGTGAGTGCACTAAAAGCCACAGCATATAGACTCAAAAGGGGTGAATTTTATGGCATGTGAACTATATACTAATGAAGCTTTATAGTCCGGTGACAGATGGTTACTAGACTTACTGTGGTGATCACTTTCTAAGGTGTAAAGATGTTGAATCACTGTGTTGTACACCTGAAACTAATATAACAGTGTAGGCCAACTATCATTTAAAATAAATAAATGAATAAATAAGTAAATGGTTGGGAAGGGATCAACCAAAGAACTTGTATGCATATATGCATAACCCACGGACACAGATAATAGGGTGGTGGAGGCCTGGGGTGAGGGGTGGGGGTTGAGGGCGGGCTAGAAGAGGTCAATAGGGGGAAAAAGGGGACATATATGATACCTTCAAAAATAAAAATTTAAAAAATAAAAATAAAATAAATGAATAAAATAAAGCTTTGAAAAGAAATTGGTTTCATCTCGCACAGAGGATGAGACAGGGTCCAGCAACTTCCAGGTTCACTCACCTAGGTGGCTCTGGGTGAATTCTAGGCTTGACCTCGTGGTGAACATGGGAGCAGTTTTAGTTAGGATGTTATAGAAGTTCACCCCGTCCGTGTTCTGAAATATACAAGTATATTTGGCTGTTTGCTGTTTTTATTTCTCCATTATCAATGTTGCAGAACAGAAAGGCACCTGGCCCTCCACCGTATCCAAGGCCAGATTTCTCTTTGTAAATCTGCCAGAAAGAAATGCAGCTCTCGGCAGGCTCAGTCAGCCCAGCCTGGGGGGGGGTTGGTGGGGTGGGGGGTGAGGGGGGAGCAGCTCATAGGAGCCAAGCAAAGATGCCGCAGGAGAAAAACACGAGACGTGTGTTAGTGTACAGGCAGCAGGAGCTGACTTTTGGAGCGGCTCAGGATAGACCTCCCAATCCTCCCACACCAACCAAGGGCCCTTCAGTCATGGGAAAGAAACCCCCGACCATGTGCCGTTACCTGTTCAACGACCATTTCTGCTTTTCCCCACAGCTGGGTGGCCTCCTTGTAGAGCCCCTTATTCACGGCATCCAGGACTTGCTCTGCCACCTGAGACACCTCTGCCAGGCCTTGGTCATCGAGAAGAGACTGCAAGGCAAAGGAACGGCACAGGGGCCCACTTTGCTTAGAAACACAGACCGGGCTTTGCTACAGTTAGGGCTGGGTAACAGAAAGAGTGGGAAGGAGGAAGGGGAGTTTACATCCGAAAGTGTCCAAGTCACATCTTTTTTTATGGAAAAAATACAACAAAATGTTAACAGAGTCTAGATCAGGGGTGGGCAAACTTTTTGACTCGAGGGCCACAATGGGTTCTTAAACTGGACCGGAGGGCCGGAACAAAAGCATGGATGGAGTGTTTGTGTGAACTAATATAAATTCAAAGTAAACATCATTACATAAAAGGGTACGGTCTTTTTTTTTTTTTTTTTTAGTTTTATTCATTTCAAACGGGCCGGATCCGGCCCACGGGCCGTAGTTTGCCCACGGCTGGTCTAGATGGTGGGTATATGGGTGTTCATAGTGATCTTTTCACTTTCCTGCATATTTGAACATATAAAAAATATGTCTTTATTGATTTCAGAGAGGAAAAGAGAGGGAGAGATAGAAAACATCAATGATGAGAGAGAATCATTGATCCGCTGCCTCCTGCATGCCCCCTACTGGGAATCGAGCCCAAAACCTGAGCTCGTGCCCTTGACTGGAATGGAACCATGGACCCTTCAGTCCGCAGGTCGAGGCTCTATCCACTGAGCCAAACCAGGTAGGGCTGAACCTTTTTATAATAAAGAGCTGAGGGGATTTAAAAAGCTGTGTTTCTTGTCCCTGAAGAAATGGGATAACTGTGCTGATGTTTCTTTAAATTTGTCCCCAAGGCTAGCGATAGCTTAAGGTCTCCAATTTGATATGAACCGGAAGTCCCTAAGGAGCAGTGTCGACAAAGCACTCAGCTAGCTTTGTCCTTCCTGAGGACAGAACCAGAAGAGGTCTGCTGGGCTGCTGACGACGGAGGGTGCAGAGGTGAGGCCCCACCTACTTACCATGCTGTACAGGTAAGGTCCCCAGGAGAGCACCGAATCTAAAGGAAACCACACGTAACAAAGTAAGTCGGTCATGGCTCCATCCTTCCCAAGAAAAACCTAACCAGCCTCCTTTCCAAAGCTGAAGGAGCCAGAAGAAGGGAACCAGTGGCTTTCCATCCCAGGGCCCCTTCGCGCACCAGGGCCCATGCAGGAGAGGAGCTATGTCTCCGTGGCTGGGAGGAGGGTGGAGGGTGTGGGGGCCTGTGTTGACTCGGCGCTAATGGCTCATTCATTTGGCCTGATACTGGGCCCAGTGAGTGAGTCAGCCAGAGATGGCACCCCCACAGGCAGGCTGTTTATGCAGCGGAGGCTCTTATCTGCAGACTTCAAAGCCATTTGACAGCTTAAAATATTTCCCCCCGCCCTCACATTTCTGCTCTGCTTCCTGCTTGCTCCTCCAATTTGGGGACACTAGCTTCTGCCAAGTTGCTAATTAAGGAAGAAGACTAATGATTTCATAATTCCAGTGTCTGTGGCTATACTGCCAATCAATTCATCTCCGTCCCACAAATATATGGAGAGCTGACAAAGGGCCTCAAGCCAGTAAGGAGCTTTATAAGATATAAATATAAGTAAGACTTCAAAGAGAACAGGGGGCCTTGATTTAGACAAGTTCACTATTACCATGATGCTAGGTTAGGCCAGTGCCATTGAAACATGTGCCAGCCAACGAAGTATCAAGGATCACACATTTTAAAGTACATTTAAATATGTCACTCCTTTGCTTGAAAGCCTTCTGTGGTACCTTAAGGCCAAGCATCTCATCTCAAAGTATGTTTCAAATAACCTCAGTTCTACAGAATTTTAATCTAGGTATTAAAAGAAAACATTCTTTGGTGAAATAGCTTTAGGGTTATGCAAAATACAACACATTTCTTTAATGTACGACTTCACGAGCCTTTGATGTGCTTGTGAAACTGAAGGAGGCGGAGCCCGTGTTTAACACTTCCAAAACTTATTTGACCACAGAGTCCTTTGTATAGCACCTCATCGGACTGGTATTCTTGAGTACACACACCCTGAGAAATGCAGGCATACCGGGCCCTCCTGAACCTACCTACCCAATGACCTCTCCAGTCAACCTTTAAGCTAGTGCCCTAGTTTCCTGAAATGCAAAATTGTCTGTAGTTTTCCAATGCATCACACGCCCTGCTTAATCTAGACCAAAATTGACAAATTTTTTCTCTAAAAGTACAAATAGTAAATATTCGTAGCTTTGCAGGTCGCTGTTGCAATTACTCAACTTTGTTGTTGCAGCCTCCAAACAGTATGTAAATAAATGGGCATGACTGTCCCAATAAAAAACTTATCCACCAAAGCAGGGTGGCAAGGCAGACTTGACTTGTAGGTCATAGTCTGCTGACCTCTGGTGCAGACCTGAGATGTCCAAGAGGATTTTCTGCAATGATGGAAATGCTCTGTGTCTGGGTGGTGCAATACAATAGTCACCAGCCACACGTGACTACTGGGCACTGGAAATGTATATAGTGCAACTGAACAATTAAGAATTTTATTGTAGCCCCGCTGGTATGGCGCAGTGGTTGAGCATTGACCTATGAACCAGGAGATCACGGTTTGATTCTCGGTCAGGGCACATGCAGGAGGCAGCCGACCGATCATTCTCTCTCATCACTGATGTTTCTATCTCTCTCTCCCTCTCCCTTCATCTCTGAAATCAATAAAAAAAAGAAAAAGAATTTCATTGTATTTTAATTAATTTAAATTTAAATAGTCACAAATAGTTCTATGGCTCCAATACTGAACTGAGGACATGGAACACATCTGTATGTCTTTCCCAGCACCTGACACAATACCTACTTCCCAGCAGGCCAGTAGTAATTGTTCATGAAATTAACAGGACTTCTCCCTCAAAAGGGCAGTACTTCTGGGATGAAGGGGTGATACTTAAAGTGGTCTGGAAGGAGGGACTAAGATCTGGACAGGAAGAGTCAAAGGGGGGGTCATGGCAAGGTGAAAAGATTTTGGACAAGATGAAAAGCACTTGTAAGGCCATGAGGTTCAACTTATAGGTCTACTGGAGGAAACGTAGTATAATGGTTAAGTGCATGGATTCCAGTGGCTGCTGCCTGGATTTGAGTCCTGGCTTTAGCTGTGTGACTCTAGAAAAATTGCTTAACCTCTCTGAGTTTCATCATCTCTAAAATCAGGATAATAACAGCATGGATCCCATGGAGCTGTTGTAAGGATTAAAGGAAGTTAACACATGCAAAGTGCTTCGTGTTGTGAAACTGATGAGACCCCAGGAGGAAGTGTGGGAGCCAGTGCTGTAATTTTGAGTGAGGCATCTGGCAAGAACCCTGCTAGACTCTTGTGCTTCTGATCAAGGCATCCGCTGCTTCCTGTTGTCCTAGGAGGTCCACCCAGGAAGGACAAACAAGTAGCAGCCCTCCTCTCAATGATGACTCGGATCTCGGTTATGCCATTATTCCCTGGAGATGCCAAGAATGAGGGAAGAAATAACCATTCCAAGTCCTGAATCCATTAGGGACATGGCTCTGTAAACGCATTTACTCCCATGTAACGACCACCTCAGTCAAGAGATGGAGCACAAACAGCCTAGAAAGGTCCCTCATGTCCCTGTCTAGCTTATTCCCCTCCCTCCTCCACGGGCAACTCTCTCCTGATTCCTAACTTTATAATTTGGTTTTGCCTCTGAAAAGTCAGCTTTTGTTAGGTTAGAGCGGTAGTTCTCAACCAGGGGTAATTCTGTCCCCCTGGGGACATTTGATAATGTCTGGAAATATTTTTGATTGTCATACTGGAGTGGAAACACCGGCATCCAAAGGGCAGAGATGGTCCTACACTGCACAGCACCACTCCCCACAAAGAATTCTATGACCCAACTGTCAACAGGGCTGATTCTGAATCCTATGTTAGAGTGAACCCACTCAGGTAACTATTTTAAATATGTTTTTATTGATTTCAGAGAGAGGGAGGGAGAAGGAGAGAGAGAGAGAAACATCAATGATGAGAGAGACTCACTGAGCAGCTGCCTCCTGCATGCCCCCTACTAGGGGAGCGAGCCCACAGCCTGGGCATGTGCCCTGACCGGGAATCAAACCATGACCTGGTTTATTGTTCGACACTCAAACACAGAGCCACACCGGCCAGGCAAGGTGACTATTTTAGATGTCTGAAGTCACACCCCGGAAGTCTGCAACATAAATAACTTTTATCTGTACTCCCAATGAGGATGCTGATGCTCAAGTTACGAAACTATGCACCTGAGTTGCAGCACCTGATGCTAACCTTGTCTCATCAACATGAGCAACAGAGGAGGTGTTCACCGCAATGCTCATGCTCACATCAGGGGACAAGATGACAAGACTTGGGTTTGACTCCTGACCTTGCCATTCTGTGTGTCAGAGAGCAAATCCCATTACCCCTCGGGGCCTTTAGAACAAACATGTCAAACTCAAAGGCTGACACGGGCCAAATAAACAAGGTTTAAGTTTATGTGGGCCACAAAAAACCAAAAGCTTCAATTTTCATAGAAACATAGGTTTATTTTGAAAAGTATAGTATAAAAAAAAAGAACAAGAGCCCTAACCAGTTTGGCTCAGTGGATAGAGCGTCGGCCTGCGGACTGAAGGGTCCCAGGTTCGATTCCTGTCCAGGGCATGTACCTGGGTTGCGGGCATATCCCCAGTACGGGGTGTGCAGGAGGCAGCTGATCGATGTTTCTCTCTCATCGATGTTTCTAACTCTCTATCCCTCTCCCTTCCTCTCTGTAAAAAACCAATAAATATATTTTTTTAAAAAAAGAACAAGAGCAATGATAAAAATTAAAGTTTTCTTCTTGACACTTGGCATCTCTTCTCTGCTACTATCTTTCCTACTTTGGAGGAAATCTTGTTCGCAGTGATTGCTTTCAAAACTGACCCAAGGTGAGTGCCAGTAATTCTGGGTCTGACAGGAGACTCATTTCCTTTCATAACTGTAAATAACTGCTCACACCGTTATATTGGCTGGGCCACAAAAATATTCGTTATGGGCCGCATGTGGCCCGCGGGCCGCGGGTTTGACATGCTTGCTTTAGAATGTCTCCAACTGTAAAATTTGATTCTTTTGTTATAAGAATCAAATAAGAGGATGAAGTTCAGCCCATAGCAGCCCACGGTAGATGCTGTGTAAATGCGTTCTCCCCCCCAAATTTCTTGGATGGCCCGGGGGCACACACATTCTGTGTTCACTTCTCCAAGGACTCAGAAAAATTCCATTGCCTTGTTCTTTTTTCTGGATAACACAGCCCCAAGGTCCAGGGAAGGGTGGGGACAGGAAGTAAGGAAATGTCTACAAATTCCATACTTACCTACAGGGGAGATCCAGGAGTCGCCCAAAGCAACCCCAGAAAAGTTGCACTTGATGGTCCCTTGCTGAATGGCCTGAAAGAGAAGGAGCCAAGAAACATCCTTGCCAAAGGGACTCAACAGGAGGGAGCCCCGTCTTCACACACTGCCTTCCGAGCCCAGAAAACTTCTGCCCACCCTTTCCAGGAGTCCCCAGGTCTCCGAAGACCTGATACCCTCGAGAGAACCAGAGTGACTCCTTCCTGACACCTTTTGCAAAATGAGTGGGAACTGTTGAGTTTCTCTCTACTCACAAGGGTGTGGGCAGGGTGTGTGTGGGGTCTGGCGCATCCCCTATATTTTTAGGAGGGACACTGCCCCAAGGCCCGATTTCTCAGAGGGCTCCTTGGGAACAGTCCTCACTGCCCACGCTGCAGTCACTGAAGGGCTGGGAGGCCTCCTCAGGGGGTCCCCAAGGGTGGGAGGAGGCCTTAGGACTAGGAGCTCATACTCCTCTTCCCTACCCTCCTTTTTTCATTTAACAGTAATACAGTAGCAGGAAATTGGAAACAATCTGCATATCATAGGATAGGCTAAATGAATTATGACTATTTCCATGGTACATGATGCAATTTAAAAAACAACAACAAAGCCCTGGCCGGTGCTCAGTGGTTAGAGCATTGGCCCGAGGACCAGAGGGTCTCGGGTTCAATTCCCAGTCAAAGGCATGTACTTAGGTTGCAGGTTCCCCAGCCCTGGTTGGGGCAAATGCAGGAGGCAACTAATCAATGTTTCTCTCTCACATCAATGTTTCTCTCTCTCTGTCTCTCTCTCCCCCTCCTCCCTCCCTTCCACTCTCTCTAGAAATCAATGGGAAAAATATCCTCGGGTGAGGATAAAAACAAACAAACAAAACAAAAAATGAGGAGTTCTTTATAAACTGATATGAAAACATCTCTAAGCTATATTGTTGAATTAAAAAGAGACATAGTATAGTGTATAGTAAGTACTATAATTTGAATAAAAACAAGAAAAAAAAATCTGTGAATTAGCTTTTATAGGCATGACATACTTCTGGAAAGGTATAGAAGAAACAGAGGTTGCCTTAGAGGCGGGGGACAGAGGCAAGGGAGAGAATTGTTACGTTATCCCTTGTATAGTTTTGGAATTTTGAATTATATGACTGCACAAGCTATTCAGATATCTAAAATAAGAAAACAATGAATAGCCTGACTTTGAACATTGGTCATGAAAGTGAAGGAATTAGGCATTTTTCTGGCTTTTCCAGAAGGAACTTATTTCAAGTTACCTAACTAGTCCCTGATGATGAGGGCAAGTTCCACTTCCTGGAGAAATAGAAGCTAATAGAAGTGAACAGAACAACAGGAGAAAAACATCATTTGGAAACTCCTAGGGAAATTATTGACCTACGTGAGAATTAAAAATGGACATTAAAACAGCCCGTTTCTGGGTGAAACCAAGACGACAAAGTCATCTTCCTCGTTACCTTATGAAGTTCTAGAGCAATGCCAGCAGCCATTTTTCCTCCGTAGGACTCTGAGAAAATGTAGAACGGGATCGTCTGGCAAGAAAAGGAATCGACAAAGAACTAAACATCCTGAATATCTTCTTATTCACACGAATTCATTTCACATTTCTACTGCACGTCATGGCCTGACAAGTCCGCTTTGCGTAGTCTCTCTCCCTCCCCATATCTGGTTCCTACGTTTGCTCAGAATACTGGCCCAGGGTCGCTCCTTCAAGCTCAAAACCGCCTTGAGCGAGGACAGAAACAAAAGCCCACAACCCCACCTGGGGCGTAGAAAGGTTTCCCTGGAATCAGCCGGGCGCTGCGCTCTCGGGGAAGGGGATTCTGGTGGACGCAGTGTCCCTACTGCTAGCCCCTTGCTCAGCTGTTCCTGAGGCTTTGCTCACCTGGAACTCCGGGCGGCAACTGAAGAAGGACTCCAGGAGAACCATCATATCCGATGCCACCATGGCCAGGTCTTTGGCATACATGCCGTCCTTGTCCACATAACTGAACCCAGTGCCCACGGGGTTGTCCACAAACAGGAGACTGGCAGACTGCAGCTGCATGCCACAGAGGAAAAGCAAATGTTCCAGTCAGGCAGGCAGTCACCAATTATCTTTTTTGTTGTTGTTAATCCTCACCCGAGGATATTTTTCCATTGGAAGGGAGGGGGAGAGACAGAAACATGGATGTGAGAGAGACACATGGATTGGTTGCCTCCTGCATGCACCCCAACCAGGGCTGGGGATGGAGTCTGCAACTGAGGTACCTGCCCCTGACCAGAATCAAACCTGGGACCCTTCAGTCTGAGGGATGATGCTCTATCCACTGAGCCAAATTGGCTAGGGCACCGATTATCTTTTGATCATCTTGTATGAGCTCATCAAAAACACGAGCGAGGATATGAGTGTGCTTCTGATGCTGTTGCTAAAAGGGATTTTTAAAAATAAGGGACAGGAACATAGACTACTGTGGCAAAGCAAAGGAGAGGCAAGAAGGAAAGATTAGCATATACCTGGGATCAGAGCATCTAAGCCAGGGGTTCTCAACCTGTGGGTCGCGACCCCTTTGGGGGTCGAACGACCCTTTCACAGGGGTCACTTAAGACCATCAGAAAACACATATAATTACATATTATTTTTGTGATTAATCACTATGCTTTATGTTCAATTTGTAACAATGAAATTGGGGGTCACCACAACATGAGGAACTGTATTAAAGGGTCGCAGCATTAAGAAGGTTGAGAACCACTGATCTAAGCTGTCACTTTTCACACGATACAAACGTTCTAAACGTAATACATTAGTGCAGGGGGAATCGAGCAGTGAGTCTGAGCAGTAGCTGACAATACATCCAAGGTCTGAAGACCACACATCCGTTTTCTTCAAGACAGAGCCAACTTCCACATTGGCCTGGAACTACAAGCAGAGAGCTTATTCTAATGTCCGCTCTAAAGAGGCTTAGAGAGCCCTGGCCGATTTGGCAGAGTGCATAGAGCGTCAGCCTGCAGACTGAAGGGTCCCAGGTTCGATTCCGGTCAAGGGCATGTACCTTGGTTGCGGGTATATCCCCAGTAGGGGGTGTGCAGGAGGCAGCTGATCGATGTTTCTCTTTCATTGATGTTTCTAACTCTGTCCCTCTCCCTTCCTCTCTGCAAAAAATCAATAAAATATATTTAAAAAATAAAATACAATAAAAAATAAAGAGGCTTAGAGATACAGAATTTTACATCCAGAAGGATCCTTAGTGATGACACAGTCCAGCCATGTCCTTTACTCATCAGCTACCCTCTTAGTTCTGGGAGGCTTGGGGAGGACAAGCCAGTGAGGCCCTCTGCTACTGCAAGTGGAAGTGGAATTTTAGCTGGAAGTGAGTACAGGATGTTCCAGGCTGTGGGAACAGCATGTGCAAAGACCCTAAGGCAAGAGTAAGTAAAAGGAAGGCCAGTGTGGAGACAAACAAGAGAGTCAAAGGACTCAGAGGGAATATTAAGGAAGAGGGGATCCTGCATTGAGTCTTAAAGAATAGTAGATGTGAATGGGTGGCCACAGGACTGAAGTCCAAGCCAAGGAAACTGCCCATGCAGGGGCCTGAAGGTAGAGTACATGTGGACAGATGCGGGGAGATGCGGCTGGAGGTAAGCAGAAGCCAGCTTATGCCTCCCAAGTCAGTGTCTATAGCTCAGAACTTTTGCCCCTGAACTATTTTGCCTCTTGCCTCTTAGATGTCTCCATGTGGCTGCCCCTCATACATATTCAACCTTCTATGTGACATTAGAGGATGGGGCTGCTGAAGAACACACAGAAGAGAGAGTAACCAAGGACAGTGTGCTGGGAGATCGCAACACCTAAGAATGGCACCTGCAACAGTGCTGCAAAGGAGTCCAATGAAGACGAATGGCAAGAAGGACCTAGTGGCCTTGGAACTGGGAAGCCAGCACACCCTGGGGGACAACAGCTATCGCGGAGTGAGGGGGACACACTGCCGGGGGTTAGGGCAGTGCTTCCCAACCTTGTCGTGGCCACAGGGGAAATAATACAGGCACCACATCCGAGCGTCAACATGCTGGGCTCCCTAGGACCCACGCTTCCCGCCTCAGCCCCCAGCTCTGAGGGTCAGTCAGCATTGCAGCATCTGGGTGGTAAGCTCTGGGTAAAGAACAGCAAAGACAATTCTTGTAAGAAAGGAGGGTAGCTGGTGGGACTTGTGGGGTCAGGAGAATTTGTATTTTGGCCGGGAAAGACCTCCAGTTTGGAAGACAGACTAGCGAGCACATGAAGAAATAGAAAGATGCTAAGTGAGCTCAGAAAGGGCGAGCCAAACTCGTTGTGCTGAGATGGGCAGGAGGAGAGTCAGAGGGGCAGGAAGGTAAGTACACTCATTGGCCAGGACAGGAAGTAGCTGGTTATGTGTGATGGCCTCTGTTTTCCTGGGGAGGCAGAGAGGCAGGTTGGCTCCCGATGAGGGAGAATGGCTGGAGCAGGAGCCCCGAGGAAGTGGGGAACATGGGCAGCCAGTGGTATCGGGAAAGAAGCCCAGCAGAAGCCCAGAGCAGGGCGTGGCCGGGCCCTGAGCTAAGCCCACAACTGGCAGCAGCCCCACCCTGACAACAGTGTGGCTTTGCCCTCCAGTTTTTGGCAGCCTGGGGGCAGGGGCCGAGGGTAGGAGCTGAGCAGGGAGACAGTGGGACTGACCCAAGGTTGGGTGTGGAGAGATTGCAGAGGAAGAAGGATAAGGGAGCCAGGGGGTGGGGGTGGGGTGCTGACCTGAGAGGGGTTAGGGGAGGAAGTGCAGCCGGGAATGAAGATAAGTGTGTGTGGGGGGGGGGGGGGGCGCGGTCACAGAGACCAGAAAGACATCAAAGGGCAGAGGACAGGGGCCTTGAAGTCAAGAGGCAGGAGTGGAGGAGAGGAGACGGGAAAAAGGATGGGAGCTTGTGGCCAGAGGGTGGGACCCCGAGTCAGATTGCAGAGACAGCCAAAGTGTGGGTAGTGACAGGGTCCAGGTGTCCGCTGGAGTGGCTTCTGTGGGCAAGTGGAGAGAAAGGTCACGAAGGCAAGAGAGATGGAAGGTGAGAGTGGGGGTGGGGGTGGAGGGGCAGTACTGCTAAACTTGTGACCCCGCCCAGCACGAGGTGAGCCCGGGGTGAGGCCAGGCCACGCTCACAGTACCCAGGTAGTTTTTCGTGGTTTGAGATCAGAGTCAAGGGGCCCGATTTCCTCAAAGTTTCCAAATCCAGTGCTGGATCCGCCCGGACCACCCTGTGGGAGAGAAAAGAAACCAACGTTAATCCTGAGGAAATGTTAGTAAAATCGTAATCATTACAATGATGACCACACTCACTATGAACGATTTATGATTTAGCGATGGCTGCGCCAACCCTGCACAAAGGCACAATTTACCTGGCGAACCAGGGACTCCTGCACTAACTGGGCCCCGAGGAACAGCTGACATCTTTCTGAAAGGGGCACACCCTGGGCGTGCAGCAGGCAGCCGGTCAATGATTCTCTCTCATCATTCGTGTTCCCATCTCTCTCCCTCTCCCTTCCTCTCTGAAATCAATAAAAATCTATTTTAAAAGGTACAGACCTGGGCCAAGAGCCCCCACAAGGAACTTTCCTACCTCTGATTCCCCAAACTTGAATCCTGGCCAGCCATGGACTCACTGACTTTCAGGCACCGTATCTGGCTGACCCCTCAAAGATGAGCAATAAGGCCCAGGAAGGGGACATGGAAATTAGGGGCTCTACCAGGACTGGACTCCGGGACTTGTGTCCCTTGAATAAAATAGTCCTGCCCACCCCCACCCTCCCACGCTGTTTTTTTAAAAATATATTTTATTGATTTTTTACAGAGAGGAAGGGAGAGGGATAGAGAGTTAGAAACATCAATGAGAGAGAAACACCGATCAGCTACCTCTTGCACACCCTACTGGGGATGTGCCCACAACCAAGGTACATGCCCTTGACCGGAATCGAACCTGGGACCTTTCAGTCCGCAGGCCGACGCTCCATCCACTGAGCCAAACCGGTCAGGGCTCCCACGCTGCTTTTGATGCTCTTCGTGGCTGCAGGAGATGACCTCCCCGGCCAAGGACAGCGGGAAGCTGGCTGGAGGACACTTCTGCTCTATTTGAGAACATCTGACTACCAAATCTTTGTCTGCAACTTTGGGGTGGGGCGCTGTGGTGGCCAGGGACACTCCAGAGGCTCTGAAATACGGTAAATGTGTCAGTGAGCCAAGTGACATGCGGAACGGAACAGCTCACTGCTCCACTCAGACGACGTGACCTGGATTCTCAAAGACCTGCCCAGAGCAGTCAGCACACATTGCCTCAGCAGGTGGCCAAAATAGATCTTTTCATCTGAATTAGTAATTATTTGTTCTTTAATCATAATCTTTTTCCTCTCCCTTGGGCCTCTGAGGAAATGAAGAGAAGATTAGTTAGCCAGTTGACATCCCTCCAATAGCATCTCAGTTCCCGAGGTCATTCTAACCAAAGGTCATGAGAGGAGTTAGCTTGAAATGCAGGCAAATAGGGTAGGGGTCCAGTGGGAAACAAAGGCAGGTAGAACACAGACAGGGGCAGACACGGCAGTTCAAGCAAGCCCAGTAACAGAAACCAACCATGCTGGAAAATAGAATGAAATGCTTTTGAATACAGAGCGGAAGTCATGGGAAACCAAGGGAGGGCCTGCAATAAACAAGGTATATGTACACCTAGAAACAGAGAAAGTTCAGGTTCGTTGCTGGGCAAGAACAACGAGGAAATCAATCAAGTAGTGACATAACAGACATGAAGCAGGCTTGTAGCACCCATATACTCCTAGAATGACTTGCTTCACTGGCAACCCATTCTTTGGGCCCCCTCCACATTGGGAAGACTGAATCTGCTTGTAACAAATTTTCCACACTTTTATTTAAATCTTCTGGTCCGAGTAGCTCATTCTTCGGCGTAGCAAGACATGACACAGGGAAAACACCTCGGCTCGCCGTTCCGGTTACCAGTCACAAACTGGGCCATGGACCGTGAAGAGAAATCAGGTGCCAGCGAGGGGTCCCTCCGCCAGGAGGGCCTGCCCGGTCTGAAAGGGGACCACTGACACTCCACTTGGGACAGGGAGTTCAGCCCCGAGCCGCCACAACTCCTGATTTCTACATGCTGGCAGGTTAATCACATAAAACAAGGACCCTGCTCTCCAATCAACCACAAGGAAGGTTTGCACCTTCTTCACTCGGGTGTTTTTCAAATCGCACTCAAGAAACCCCAGAAAGTGCCGGAGGGCAGCGCGTGACCAAGGGGAGGTCCAGTGGGTGGGGCTCAGCCCCGGATCCACCCCAGCCTCAGCACTTCTGCTTTTGCTCCCATGTAAGCTTTCACTCGGGGATGGAAAAGCTCTGCTAATTAATGGAAAGTTGTAACAAAATACCCGATTAGACAGCAAAGCCCAGAAAAGGGAAGTGCCTTGCCTGCCATAGCTCTAAGCGGCATGAAGGCATCGGGTACCCAGGTCCCAGGAATGGCAGGCCTGGGCTTGTCCGCTGCTGGGCTCTCCCCAACGACCTGCCACCCGGGGTGGGCAGAAGTTCCGGGCTACACGTATGGGTGCGTCTGCGGCATTTTCATATCTGCACCCTTGGCTGAGCCTCCCCTCCAGCTCATCAAAGGAACTGCTTTGATAATCCTGAGGGAATGGCCCCACCTGGCATTCTATCTTTGTTCTATCTCACCAGAAGGCCCGCATGGACCCGCAGCACTGGGAGGCTGCTTATGATCACTGACATTTTTGCAAGAAGTGACATTTGCATCCTACGCAAGTGAGTACCAGGGTGCCCTCTTTAGTGGTGAGCGACCTGGAGCCTCAGCTGGGCCAGGCCTACAGTTTCCAGAGCCTGAGCGAGACCATGCTCCTCAACGCCTCCCTGGAGATGGGTCTTCCAGGTGAGTGTGGACCATCTCTGGACAGATATTTTAGGAATGCAAGGAAGAATCCTCTGCCTGCCCGCAGCACTGGGAGGCTGCTTATGATCACTGACATTTTTGCAAGAAGTGACATTTGCATCCTACGCAAGTGAGTACCAGGGTGCCCTCTTTAGTGGTGAGCGACCTGGAGCCTCAGCTGGGCCAGGCCTACAGTTTCCAGAGCCTGAGCAAGACCATGCTCCTCAACGCCTCCCTGGAGATGGGTCTTCCAGGTGGGTGTGGACCATCTCTGGACAGATATTTTAGGAATGCAAGGAAGAATCCTCTGCCTGCCCCCAAATGCCTCTTCACCAGTTCCAGGCCTTCCACCCTGCAGGCAAAGCTCAAGATCAGAACGCAGACACATCTAGGGAGAAGGAGAAGGCCCAACGTTTAATACTACGATACAAGAGGCGAAGCGCTTTCAAAAGATGAGTTTTTCTGGGGGTAAGAAGTTAGGGGCTGGGAAAGGATTGGGAAACAGAGATGGGAAGAGCCGGTCAGAGTACCTCAGCCTTTGCTTTGGAATTGTTCAAAAACACTTTCTATCAGTATATAGTCAAATTTGTCTTCCGAAGCTTCTGGTAAAGGTTTCTGCCACTGCCTGGGCTCAAACAAACAAACATGGTAATAGAACCCCTCACTCTCTGATTTACCCTCCTTGGTATACCACTGCCTTGGCCTACGTCAGAAGGATGCTGAATCCCCAAGCCTAGGGGACACCTGGCTGGCTGCTGGACCAGGCCTTGATCACTGGCTGAGCTGTTAGCCTTTAAGAGCAAGCAACATGGTAAGTGGGGGAAACTTGGCCTCAAACCTGGCCAGGCAGCGAAGCCACTTTTACCTGAAGCCACATAACCAGGGGCAGTTCGGTGAAGTTCTTGCAGGGGTTGGTGGCATAATAGAGCCACCAGAACATGTGGGCATCCTTCCGGACAGTCACATAATCCCATACTTCTTTGCCTTCGTCTGGGGGCAGGTCGACGATGGCTCCTGAAACAGAAGCACAATTTGATTTTCCTGAAGGATGTCTAACGTCTGGATAAATTCCAAGTCCAGTAAAGGTGGCCATGCCAGACTAGAGATAGCTTGGTTTATATTTTAGGCAATGTACTCACTCCAATATATTATGAAAATAAGGGGAAAAAACATCAGTTATGAAAAAAACACATCAAGTCCTAGCCAGGTAATTCAGTTGGTTAGATAATTCAGTTGTTGTCACCCAAAAATACATCACTGTTGCAGGTTCAATCCCTGGTCAGGGCACATAACAAGAATCAACCAATGGCCGTAACCGGTTTGGCTCAGTGGATAGAGCATCGGCCTGCAGACTGAGGGGTCCCAGGTTCGATTCCGGTCAAGGGCATGCACCTTGGTTGCGGGCACATCCCCAGTAGGGAATGTGCAGGAGGCAGCTGGTCAATGTTTCTCTCTCATCGATGTTTCTAACTCTCTATCCCTCTCCCTTCCTCACTGTAAAAAATCAATAAAATATATAATAATAATAATAATAAAAGAATCAACCAATGAATGCATATATAAGGAGAAAAAGGCTGACTTAGGGATTACCCTTGGGGACTAGAATTTTCTACCTTTCACTTCTTCCTTTCTTAAATTTCAAGTCTCTGCAGCAAGTAAAAGAACAAAAAACTAGTCTTGAGAAGAGAAAGGAATAGATGAGGAGACAATGCTGTTTGTAACTGATAAAGCTAGAGATTAAGAAAACCAAAAAGTGTCTTGAGGAGAAAAACAGAACTGCTAGATATGGCTATAAGAGTCTGTATACAAATAACACAAGAATGCGGTCTCCTTGAAAATGATAGATAAGGCTCTGGTCCCTTTTGACCTATGCCCTGATACTCCTCTCTACCCTGAGAGTTACCACTGTTAAAATTTGGGGCTCAACATACTTGACATTTCCCAGACACAAACTGAAGGACATATGATCCCCATTTTACAAAAAAGGAAAAACAGTTGTTAAGCAACTTGCCTAAGGTCACAAGGCAAGTTTGTGTGGCCAGTAGAATTCTGTTGATTCAGACCAGGAAATATTTTGCTGGGGGGGATGGGGGAGGAGGAGACTGAAAATCTATTTGCAAGTCACCCTTTAAACACGAATTTGTTTTTGCCAAAAAGGACCCTGATGAGGGGAGACATTATTTTGTCCGTTCTGATCAAGTAAAGGGGGAAAAGGCCTTCTCTCAACGAAACGGCCCATTCGGGGTAGGATTTTTCAGTCTTTTTAAACAGCCAGTGACGGCAGGAGGACGGGGATGGCGTTAAGATTGTGGAAACCTCACTGATCTCCAAATCATACATTTTCCACAACTGTTTCTACCTAGGGAAGAAGGGAGTACCAGACCACTCAGAGCCAAAAAGAAAAAAAAAAGGGGGGCGGGGGGGAGGGCGCTAGAAAAGCACTTTCAATTAGAAAACAAACCGACAGAAAGTCGACAGAGGTTCAAAGGCACAGGGGAAAAGAGATTTGCTTTAAAAAGCACAAACGTACTAGCAGACTCTCATCCCTGGAGAGAAAAGAAGGCACCGGTCACTGATACATCTTTTGCCCGAACCTACCAGTACTCGGGCCCAGAAGCAGCAGCAGTGGCAGGAACAGGACACAGATCCGCGGTGCCAGCTCCATGATGAATACCGCGCTGCAGCATCAGCAATAGGCTGGACCTGGTGCCCCACCACGTGACGGCGGCAGGCGGAGCCTGGACTGGACCGGGGAGGGGCGGGGCTTAGGGGGGCGGGGCCTGGGCGGGTCTGGGGGCGGGGCGGGGCCTGAGCGATGAGGCGACTGGCAGTGTTCGGGGCGCCCTCTGCCGGACGGGACAACCCCTGCCACGGTTCTGGGTGGCATGTTCTGTTGGCCCCTCACATGGTTCTTTGCGGTTTTGAGGGACAGAGCGGAGGGGAAGAGGCGTTTAATGCATTTGGCTTCAGTTGTGCGGCAGGACTGAGACGCTACAGAAAAATACCCATGAAGACCGTCCTTCCCGCCCTGCCCATCTCTTCTTTCCCCAACAAAAGTCCTGGCATTTCAAAAACTGCTGCGTCTGTCCCAAATCAGATGAAGCTTCGACCCGCTGGTCCTTGAAAACTGTGGGATTCCATTTTCAGAGATTTTTAGAAATTATTTTTCTTATGAAGTTACGTATATTATGGACATTTTGGAAAGTTGAGAAAAAAATGTTAGATCCTACATAACCATTGTTGACATCTGGGATTTTTTTTTTTTCTCTAGTCTTTTATGTCACCTTTTAAAAAACAATAATAAAAAGTTATTTATTTTCTCTTGATCATTTGTCATCAGCATTATTCTGTGTTGTTAACATCATCTTCACAACAGTTAATTTATTTATTTTAGAACAAATAAGATTTAGTGCAGTATATTCTGCTAACCCAGAAGCACTGTTGACGTGGCTTTGGGTAGAGAAGCACATGTAAAACTGCTTACATTGAATTTCAAAACAAACAAAACAAAACTTATCTGTTTTGGTTGAGAACAATAGGAGTCCAAAAAGATGTTTGATTCCTGGAGCTTCAAATTGAAGAAAGGGCTGGATGCTGTTCTTCAGCTACTTCATCATCCAAGTTGCTTCCATTTGAAGAACTCAGAAAACACTGCATTCCATATTGTATCCTTTTTGAGAATTCTATGAAACTTAGGTTTGACATCATAACATAAGTGTATATAGAGTAGTCTATAGAGTAGCTAAAACCCGTAAAAGGGAGACCACCGCTACACAAAACCTGTGTCCAGTGCCCAAGGTGAGGGCTTCAAAGGGTATCATTTCCTTTCCCGTTGCTTGGTTCGCTCCAGCAATTACTGTACTTCTCAGGATTCCAGCAGCAATTGGTCCCACGATGCTCATCAACAGGAAGTTTACAGACATGAACCTACCATATTTGTGATGCGCAGGGGTGAAGAGGGCCAGTAATCCAGCGGGGAATATGAAAGAAGAGAGAGGATACCAGTGCCCATGGTACCACCATAGCGCATCTCTGGGGAAGGAGCAGAAAGAAGTTGAGTTGGGGCACAGTGTTCCTTTGCCGATGGAGCTGGAGCTTCAGGCTGAGGATCTGCTGCAGGAACCCAGCTGGCCCCCACTGCTGCTGCCCGCCCCCTGTGTTCTGCCCTGCTTCACAGCAGTCATTTTAAAGAGGGTACTGGGGGTTTCGGAAGGGGAAAAGAGAAAAAGAGTGTTAGAGATGTTTTCATGTGTGTGTCTAATGGTCATGTTTATCTTAGGGTGTACTGAACAAGGGGCTGTATGATGGTCAGGTTACACTTCTAAATACTGGTTCAAAAGTGCACGATGAAAAACACAAAACAGAAAAACAAAGTACATGTGATAAGGCCTCTCCCTGTCCTGTTCCCCTCCCTGTCCTTCCCCTCTGCCCCTCATAAATGGACAGATGTTTTTATCTGAAGCTCTGTGAAGTGGCAGAGTCCTGCCGGTGAAGGGAGAGGGCACTGACTGAGCTTTAGGCCAGAGAAAAGAAATAGGGAACCATCTTAACATGGGTAGTCCTTTACTGGTCCAGGACCTTGGGGAAGGTACTTAATCTTTCTGAACTGTTAATCTTCAAAATGAGAATAATAATAATAATTCATATCTTTGTCATGAAAACTAAAGGAGTTAATATGTAGGAGAATGGAATGGAATCGGATGATGTAAAATTTCTGATTACAGGTTAATAAGAGGGCTTATTTTTATGTTTTAATGTGGATGGTGGTAGGAATTAAACTGCTAAGGTATTTAAATTCCACTTTTTTATATTTTTATTGATTTCAGAGAGGAAGGGAAGAGAGATAGAAACATCAGTGATGAGCGAATAATTGATCAGCTGCCTCCTGTACGCGAGAGTGATTAATTTTTTAATGTTAATATTTACAATAGATTAGGAACGACATCTATGATGAAGTTTGTCAACTAAATGTATTTGGGAGTTTTAAAAAATTCTTTGCGTAGACTAGCTAAGATCTTAGAAGACAACTGCTGAGAATTGCTTTATCAGAGTTTACACGGAACGTGACCTAAATTCACACTCTACATAGTACTCGGTAGGAAAGGATAAGGGGATTTTATTAATTGGTCCTCTTAGCCTCGTCTGAACTGAATTCAATCAACCCCACTCGGCATTGCCATTCACGAAGACTGTAATAGCCACCTGCCACCCATAGGTGGCGCACGGCGAGCGGCTCCAGGGGGCGGGCCGCCCGGGCCCGCCTCCCGGGAGCGCTGTGGCGTGTCTCGGCTTCCGTAGAGCATCGAGCAAGATGGCAGCCTCCGAGACTGTTAGGCTACGGCTTCGGTTTGATTACCCGCCGCCAGCCACCCCGCTCTGCATGGACTTCTGGCTTCTGGTCGACTTGAACAGATGCCGGGTAGTCACGGATCTCATTAGTCTCATCCGCCAGCGCTTCGGCTTCAGTTCCGGGGCCCTCCTCAGCCTCTACTTGGAGGGGGGGCTCTTACCCCACGGCGAGAGCGCGCGCCTGGTCCGAGACAACGATTGCCTCAGGTGCGCGCGCACGGGCGTGGGGGGCGTGGGGGCCGCGGGGCGGGCGGGTCGCCAGGGGCGCGCCTGTGCAGGTCCAGGGGTGCCGCAAGCTTCTGCAGACGTCGCGTGGATGGGGCTGAGGGGTGGGCATGGGGATGGGGATGGGGATGGGGATGGGGAAGGGGATGGGGATGGGGATGGGGATGGGGATGGGGATGGGGAAGGGGATGGGGATGGGGATGGGGAAGGGGATGGGGATGGGGAAGGGGATGGGGATGGGGATGGGGATGGGGATGGGGATGGGAAGGGGATGGGGAAGGGGATGGGGATGGGAAGGGGATGGGGAAGGGGATGGGGATGGGGATGGGGAAGGGGATGGGGATGGGGATGGGGATGGGGAAGGGGATGGGGTGAGACCCTGAAACTGCGCGCTCACGACTCGCAGAGCTTCCGATTCGTCGGGGAGGAGGTTGGGGAATGCGCCTGGTAACGGGCATCCTTCCCGACGCGCCGGATGCGGGTGGTTAGTGCCGCAAGCTGGGGAGAGCCCTGATGGCACGGCCAGGGCCCGAGGTCCTTTCCGCCGGGCTCTCGCTGGCGCCCTTCTGTTCAGCCGGGCACCGCGTTCCGTGCGCCTGGTGCGGACCTGCCGAGGCCGCCATCCCCGGGCGGCTCAGGTGCGGGAGAGCCGAACAGAGGGGGGGACAGCCACGTTCTCTCCTCCCGCGCAGCCTGTCCGGACGCAGTGCCCCTGCGATGGCCCCCCGAGACTCCCGATGGGGGTCGTTCTGGGTGTCGCCGGGCGTTTTGTGGCTCACTTACCTAGGTGTGTGGGACCTTCTGGGGTGTGAATTGGGAAACAGACGTTTTAAGTAGGCCTTTGGAAATTTAAAAAAGAAAAGATACTGAGTATGGAGGAGCCATTGTTGGGCTGTGAGCCGCCCACGTGCGGTTGATTGGTCTCGATAAAACGGTAAGGCATCGTCATTTCAATTCGGATTCCTGCCTTGGACTAATTTGTTCAGGGCTTCTTTAAAAAAATATATGTTTCTATTGATTTTGAGAGAGAGAGGAAGGGAGAAGGAGAGAGAAATAGAAACATCATCGATGGGCTGCCTCCTGCATGCCCCCTACTGGGGAGGAAGCCTGCAGCCTGGGCATGTGCCCTGACCGGGAGTCAAAGGTGACCTCACTGTTCGTGGGTCGCTGCTCAACCACCGAGCCACACCCCCCGGGCTGTTTAGCTCTTTCTAATGACAATTTGAAATAGTCCAAATTAAAAAAAAAGAAAAGTCCATTTTCCTTTTTATTCACTGCGGAATAGATTTCCATTTTCTTTGTCTTCAGGGACTATTTAAATAGTATTAGAATTGAGAGGACTGCATCCTCTCCTATTACGTTTTTTTCTGAGGCCCTGCTCGTTGGCTTGCAGATGTCTCCCTTGTGCTTTCACATTCCCTCTCTGTGTACAGACATGTCTCTTTCCTTAAAAAAAAAAAAAAAAAAAATTGAGAGAGAAGAGTGAGGAAGAGAAAGACAGAGATGGATTGCTGTTCCACTTATTTATGCATTCATTGGCTGAGTCTTGTATGTGCCCTGACCGGGGATCAAACTGCAACCCAGGCACACTGGGATGACACTCTAACCAACTGAGCCACCCGGCCAGGGTCTGCACATCATTCTTTTTAAATGCCACCTGGTGTTCCTTTGTGTGACCATATCAATCTACCAAACCGGCCCTTAGTAATGGACATTTTAGGTTGTTCTCTTAGTTTGGGCTGCTATAATGAAAATACCATAATCTGGGTAGCTTATAAACAGAAATTTATTTCTTACAATTCTAGAGGCCGGAAGTCCAAGGTCAAGGTGCCAACAGATTTGATGTCTGGTGAAGGCTTGCTTTCCGGTTCATAGATGGCACCTTCTCCCAGTGTCCTCATTTGGTAGAAGCGGACAAGGGGGCTCTGTGGGCTCTTTTTTTAAGGGCACTAATCATATTCATGAGGGCTCCACCCTCATACCTTAGCATCTCCCTGAAGCCCCACCTCCTAATGTCATCATAGCAGGGGTTAGGATTTCAATATATGAATTTTGGGGGGACAAACATTCAGACCATAGTAGGTTTCTGTTTTTCACTGTTATATGCTGCTGTGAATATTCTTGTGTGTCTCTGTGTACTTGGGCAATAATTCAGTAGGATA